GAATGCTCTGAATTAATGTTTGCAAAGAGCTCAGGTACTGCAGTGACTAGTGTAACAGAATGGCCTCCCAAGAAATTAGAAGTCTGTCTTTGCACCAAACAGAATAACAGAATGACTGGATTGTAACAAAATGACATAATGACTGGATTCTTACTAAACAGATCACATCAAATGGCGCTTCGAATAAGGCATATATTTTATGGGAAGAAAAGCAGGATTGTGGAGTAACACATCTCAAAACATGTAGCCACTTCCCAGGCAACATTTAATCTGGCATATTCCAACTTCTGAGTTACTGACTTTGCAGACATAACTTGCTTTAAATCTAAATGTTTTTCTTTATATACATGTGTTTGTCTTTCATAAGAACTTATTGCCTCTTCTGTATTTGTTTATATGTTCAATACATTAAAAGCTTGTTGACTTCTTATTCTATTGTTACAGCCTCCTTGTGGCACACCAGTAACAAATCTTTAGGAGTTAGAAAATGTGATTAAATAACACACAGAAGATGTCAAATGATACTGTAAAGATGATTGACTTCAAAATGCAAAATAAAGGCAATTGAGAGTGATTACTGGAGCTAATCATTTTAGGCCTGCCTCTGAAAAATGCGCCTTCATTTACAGTTGAAAACAAATGCTATTTTTACTGTTTAGTATTCATGCAGGTAGGTTTAGCCTGTTGACTAGAGAAGACATTATAACATAAATGTTATCTTAAAAATGTGCTCTTTACTAATATCTTGGTGTTTGATATATATATATAGATATATTCACAAGGGAAGTAATACGGCTCTCTTTAGAATTCCATGTATAAATTTGTTTAGCAGTTCTGTTTTACTGAAATGTAAATAATGGGATATGGTAAATGAAAAATCCAAGAAGGGAATAAACAGTTTATTTACCATTAATGCTCAAAGTAGCTTATTGAAAGACACCTTTCCGTAACTGCCACTGAATATTAGTTATGAAATTCTCATCATGCCTTGACTGTTACCCATTAGGTTTAGCCATTTGTATAGTTAAAAGGCTCAAAATGTTTCAAATACACCTTTAGAAACATTGTTATCTCAAATCTAACTATACATAGTCACAAAAAGTGCATTCAGCATGTCTGACCTCCAATTCAATTTTGTTTCAAATTAATTATTCTTCTTTAATTGCTCTGTATAAACAGAAATGACCTATTAATTTAAAGAAAATCTATCAGCACAGAATGTATTCTCTCTTATAAACAAGCAAGATGAACTTGACCTTGTTTGAACTTGTTTTGATGTGGCCCAGATGGTAGGCTACATGCTTGAATAGCAGTCTAAAGCTGAGGAAAAACTCATATAGCAAGATCTAGATTTATAGCCTTTTGCAAATTCCTACCTTGTATTGTCCTTTCAGCATCTGTTCTGCCCCCGCTGCGGTCAGCTTCTATCTCTGGGGTCAGAGAGTCTAGAAACATAGAAAGGTAAGACTGACACATATTTCATTTGATTCTTATAGCCCTTTTTACAACCTGTTACTTCAATGCTGAATTACAATACTATCAACCTTTGTCAGTTTTTTTAATGTTGAACAATGACTGGAGGCCAGGACAATTTTTTGTTAGACTAGGAAGATTAATGAGCAATAGATTTTTCAAGCATAAAGGGAGGAAGAAGAAGAAGAAAAAAAATTGACTTCTCAAGCTAATATTATAAAATTGTCCCAGTTTGAACATTCTCTCCAGTGAGTTTATTTGCCCATACTACATAAAGTAACAGAATAATAAAGAGAGAAGCATCACTTGAATGAGTAAAGAAAAGAGATTTTCTACACCACCCCCCCAATCATGTTATAAATTTTCAATATAACAAACTTCTTTTGGCACTTAAATTGAAAGTTAATGACACAGAGGCAAAAATCGTCTTCTTACCATTTAGGACCCTGAGACTATCTGTTGAAGCTGCCTGTTTCAGTGTCTGTTCTGCTTGCTCCCGTCGTTTAGTCTCAAATTCAAGTGCTTCCTGCAATTTCCTCTTTGCCTTCTTTTCCTTCTTTAGCCTTTTCTGAATTATTGCTAGGAAAAAAGAAAATCAGTGTACTCAGATTTGGATCTGAAATTTTGCTACATGATTACCTACTAAGAGTCCCAAGAAATGTCACAACTGCAACAGTTCATATAAATTGATTAATTACACAGTACCAATTTAATTTGCTTGAAATTTGCTGGAATCACACTGGGATATTCTAGGAGCTTCTGTTCTATGCTATGGTATTGAAAACTGTAGGTGACATTCAGCTATAGCATGTATTTTATTTTATAAACAGATGAGAATCTGTGAATGTCCAAATCAGAAAACCTTGGAACCAGCAATGAAACGTACTTTCTGCATCATCTGATGTAGATATGCCTCTGTCTCTGGAGGTGAGATGTTTTTTTCAGGATTAAGTCCACCATCTAGTTATTGCACACAGTTAGTACACAAATAGTGATGAGGTTCTCACCAGCCTGCCTGCCTGCCTGCAGCTTCTCTCCCATAAGAGGGAGATCTGGCTGCTTGGGTGTCTGGGTTGCAGGAGGAGTTCAGCCCCCACCCTGCTGTGGTCCTCACTCTTTAGGGAAAGGCCTTGAGCTTTCTATGGCCATTCCAAGCTGCTGCTTCCTGCAAGGCATCTGGCCTCTTGGTGCCTGGTCTTTTCCCCATATTTATTTCTTATCCACATTTTTCTTTGTCTTCCCCTTTTGTCTTTCTTGCTCTCTGTCGGCTGCTGTCCCATTAGCCAGCTAACCTTGAAGAACTCACAGCAAATCCTTTACAGTGCTGGATCCCCCAGCCAAGTAAATATTACTTTGCTCTGTCAAATGTGAGGGAAAATGAAGGAGTATTTTAAAATTAAGCATTAGAAGGCACTAATTTAGAAAAATGCTTTCCTTGTATCTAGGAGTTCATATTTTACAAGGAAAAGGACTGCAAGACCAGGACGAAATTTCATCACAATTTTCTTTTCTATGTTATCCGTGCCTTACAACCACAAAACTTAAGACTTGCATGATCCTTAACTGAAGGAACATATCACAGGTTACATTCCTGATTGAAAAGCACATTCTTCTAGTTGATAAAAGCCAAAGTGAGTCTCTAATGAAATCATGTAAAGTGATGGAGCATATCATTATCTCCCCCATCACACCCCAAATAAAAAAAATATATAATTCTACCAGTTTATACTCCCCATTTCCAGTAGTCTGTGATGGTAGTATCTTTCACAAAATGCAAATAATGAAAGTTTTAAAGGGAACCATCGTTGTTATCACTATTTAAACTATTTGCTAAAAATAACCAATTTTGGGTGAACTTGGGTATTTCGTGTTGCTGTACTGAACTGTTCAGACACAAAATGAATATAAGCACACATCCTGTAGTCAGAGTAGCCACATAATTTACACCCAAAACTTTGGAATTCTGGTTCTTACTCATTTTGCATAGTATCAACTACTTTACAGACTAAGTATTTTATACTATCAAAGAACATCTAGTATCTATACAAAGGCTAAACTAAATATGTTTTGAATCATTGCACGGTTTTAATGTTTTCATCATAAGTACTTTGAAAGTGATTGCAACAAATGAGAAGGAAACATATGTTGCTTTCTGAATTAAAATGTCATCATGGCTGACACATTGTAGATGTGACTACAGCAGTCAGAGCCAGAATTAGCAAGCCCTTACTGTGTAGCTGCTCACAGAAGAGATATTATCCTACTTTCACCAGTTGATGAGACACATCCTACAGCCTTACGAATCACTAATTGGAATATTTACAAAGAAGGAAGGAAACACTACAGTAAATAATCAGCTCTGTAAAGTGAATTTAATGTCCAAAAAAAATAGCAAAAATATTCAGATGTAGCCACTAAATAAAAAGACACTTGGCTTGTGTTAACATGACGACCGAAACATAGATGTTGCCCAGTACTGAAGATCCCATTCACCTAATGGATTTTGACCTGTATATGATACAGTTACTCGTACTTCTATGCTGTAACTTTTAAGTGCATTTAATTTTTTTCAGATGATGTCTCTTAACAGGGATATGGTACACTTCTCCCATCTTGTTCATACTTCCATTAAGACATGTGAAACTTTAAGACATGACACTTGCTATATGGAAAACTAACAGTACGGAAAGCCTCCTATGTATTTTTCTACCTTTAACTGAAGAATAAAGTCTCACAATAATTACAATCCAGCCTTATTTTTTTCTCTCCTACTTGGATCTGTTCATTTTAAAGAATAAATGATTGCTTTTCTTTCTTTTGTATGGAAGTATCCACTAGCAGAGACAGTCATCCTCATTATATTTGCTTTGCTGCATACCACCACTAAGTGTTCAAATCCATTCCTCTTTGGTCTGACTCTTTTACTAATGCAATATCATCTTAGAGGGATACATTTAAAAAACAGGTAAGGCAACATGCTGAAAATAACACTGTCAATTATTTTAGTACCTGAAAAAAATAAGGGACTAACCCATGTTCTTTCCTGACATATAACTTTGAGTAAAAATCATTTTGCTTAATTTTAACTGCTCAGAACACGTGTCTAGTCCAGACTAGTCATCTGTATTCCCTCTGGCATTAAAGGGAAGACAAGAAAGCCTTCACAGTGTAATTGACCCCACCTACCTGTTTGAGAACAGGATATACGAATCTCTTTATTGACCAGAAAGGGAACTTACATAACGCAAATGAGGTGCTTAGCTTTTAGATGGTAAAACTCAAGTAAGGTCAGATCGGTCCCTCTCAACTGTGCATGTGATTGCCTAACTCTAAAAACGAATATGTATTTGAGCAGCTGTGAGTTACAGAGGTAGAAGGATGTGAAGAATAACCAAGCTCTTTTACAAAACGACTTTAATAGTGCAATTGTACTATAGGCCAGTATATATATAGGCCAGTTGTGGACAAAGGGATGATTCAGTGCACAGGCGTGATAATTTTTAATAGTAATTGTCTTTAAAAATGTACTGTCAAAAGTTAAAAAAGGGAAATTAATGATGTGACAGTCCTACCCTTTAATGGGTCAAGGCATGAAAAAGGGTTACATTGTGCACTTACTGCTAGCATGTTAAAGTATAATGACTGGTTGTGAATCCAAGTCTTCTTGGGATTCCCTACTTAGTTGGCTGCCAGAAAATGAAACTGGACAAGAGGAGAGTTTTAACTCTAGCCCTGCAAAAATATGTATCTCACTTGTACAGTCTGTGTTAAACAGCAAATGAGCCCCAGAGGTTAACTGTCCCTCGCAAAGTAATTAGACACTACGAAAGTGCAAGACATACACATACAGAAAGATAGGAACATGCTCGTAATGCAAATAGTTAACGCAAATCACTGTAAACTGCCTTACCTTTACTATCAATGAAATTATTTAAAAATCTTTAACATGTATACACTCTACAGTGGGCTGATGTTAATGTTTGAAATCTACTAATGCTAATATATTATCAAGAAGAACCTTAACTGTTCCTTCAACAAACATGTGTTTCATCTATGTGCATTATAAAGGGCTTATATATTAGTAATATCTTTATATTTATTACATAAGGTTTGCCTAAGCATGCAATATATGACCCTAGCACATAAGAAGAGACAAGAGTTCCTAAAACCTTGCAAATTCTTAAATAGATTAAGTAGCTATCCTTTTTCATAATGATCACAAACTGCCGAAGTCCATAACAGCACATATGGTATTTATAATTGTGTTGTGTATTACTGATGTACTAAGTATTATTCAAGAAAAACATTGAGAATAGAGAAGGGCCATGTTCTAAATCTCAAGAAGATCCTATGCAGAATCAGGCAGGTTGTAAAACTTCCTGTGTTGCAGTCAGTCTGGACATAACACTGAGATAAGAGGAAAAGTTTTCATCAAACACAAGTGTTTGATAAAAATTAGGTTTCCTAAGGAAATAAATCACAAGGTGTTTGTGTCTGCTTATTTAAGGTACCTCTGTTCTTCTGCTCCACAGCCAACTGTTTTTCAAGTGTTTCTCTCAGTTCTCGTTCCCTGAAGAGCTCCATCTTCAGCTCTGTCTTTTCCAGTTGGACCTGTTTCTCTTGAGCTCTGGCATTGTCTATAGCAACCTTTAGTAGACCCTGTTCAAAGATAAAGTTGGATAAGGTTTGAAGAATGTTAGAACAGCTGACATAATAAATAACTGCTATTATTTTTCCTTGGTAGTCATGTGAGATTTTACAAATGAAATAATCTTATAACTGGGTCAAAGCCTCTCAATTATCAACAACAAAATTCTACCAGAATTAATTTTAATAGGTGGGCAAAAATCTGTGAAAAGCCAGGAGTCAAGCTTTCCCAGAAAATGCAAACTCATCTTTGACTGTGCATGTAACTAACACGAAAAAGTGACACGGATAGGTTTATTCTTTCTCAGAGATTAAAGAGACAAGCCTACATCAGGCAATTGCCTGTGACCAAAACAAAAAGCTGTCCCACTGCAAAAGAACTGGCAATCACATCATCCACAGAATGGCAAATTCAAGCTTTAGCACAAGTCAAGCCAATGGAAATTACCAAAGGGAGAGAGGTTCTTTTAAAGGCTTGACATTTTGTTCCTTATTGTTGTTAGTTACTATTATTTTCAAATATTTTCAATTTCATAGAGTTTCCGAAGACAGGGTTATTGGGATGCTAAGCAGAAGACAGTAACAAAGCAGGAAGGTACTTCTGTTTTAGAAAGTCCATTCCCTGACCTTGTACAACTGTTATCTTATAGCAGAGATCAAAACGCTATCATCTCTCAGTTTCTTTTTGTTTGTTTGTTTTTATTCTATCAGGAGGTAATGATGCACCCTATTCTAGACTACTCTTGAGAATTTCAACTTCACATTTCCTTCTTTTTTTGCAAGGAAACAGGAAGATCTTGGCACAGCTAATGTCTACATAGTTAGGACACTGAGATAGGGTATGAAAAATAGGAGGAGAAATGGAATTGAAGTAAATGAACATGGAAAGAGGATAGATTTCCTCTTCCATTTGCCAGAAGCCTGGCCATCAAACTGAACCTCTCTTCTTGAAGCTATCATAATAGACTCAATAATTAAGCATATATGAACCTCCATGAATATGAACCTAACTCTTCTGTATCCTAGGCAAGTCTCCTGACAACTTAACTGTAGAGATAATTTGACCCAACAGAGATTTAATTATTGATATAAAGCAAAACAAAGTCAATAGGAGAGAAAAGTACTCCCCAATAACTCTGCTAGGGAAGCATTCAGCTAACAGACAAAAGGTTCACATTCAAGACCCAGTTTCAGAATAATCACAATACGGACATGAAATCATGTCCCCCTGGCTCCCAAGTAAGCTTCCTCTCCCCTCAGGCACACTTCCTAAATTGGATTCTGGGTTGCATGTTTTTTCCCTAAAATTGTTTGCAATATCTCCGAAAAGGAATGGAAAAAGAAGCCAGCATGATGATACTTGACAAATGGAAAAAGTATTTTTCATGAGTGTTTGTTCCACTAGTCTTCCCAATGTCAATGCTTGCTTTGAAATTTGTGTCCTTTCAACTCCTCTTTTAAGTCTGTTTTCAGAGCCTGTTATTTTCAGTACTCATCCTCATTCTTAACTAAATTGTTGCCTCAAGTGTTATCTCATTCACAGCTTAATGGTTTGCAGCTCTATTACACTTCAATCTATTAAAGTCCACAGGAACTGAAATAACTCAACACCTTCCAACTGCAAGGCCCAGACAGTCACCAAAATGATATATACATCTGAAAATATCTAACAATGGAAACACAACAAATGTGCTTACAAATACGTTTACAGTTTTAGCAGTTTTCTTTAAAAGAAACAAATGCTATTCTAAAACCACAAAGATTTTGTGTGTTGAATGTTAAATCTGGATGACTACTAAAGAAAACCACATAAAGCTAAATATAAAGCTCTCCAGACACACGCAAAGTAAAATACAATTTGAAATATTTGTAAAGCCTTTCTAATCTATTTTTTTAAAAGTTAATATCCACCTGAATTCTGTTCCCTTCCCCTGCCATATTCTTCTACACTTACAACCATCACAAACTACATTTTCTATACACGATACATTTGAAATAGTAAGACTTGAAGTAGGTGTTGTTTATTAATATCTGCTTCTGGCTTACGCTTAAACTCTAGAAAATTTTAATCTCCTCTAATTCATCACTTACTGGAACATGTGATTCATCCAAACTATAAACTATATCAAATGAAATTATATGAAAAGTATTTGTTGATGGAAATTCTATTGCCAAGTAAGTTTATAGCAGCAACCCCCCCCCACACCTCCAAAATTCTTACAATCCATCTTGTTTAACAATAAAATGAGTCTGCTAAAGCAACTGCCATCTTTACTCAATTCAACTACATTCATGTACATGTTTCTTCTTCATCAGGAACAAACAATTAGTAACAAATGAAAGAGATCATTACATCAAGTGCCCTTTTAGATCACCCCAATTAAAACTTTAGTTTAGCTGTATTTTAATTCTAAGATACCAAATTCTAATTTTCTGCTCTGATTGCTCTTGTTGACTTATCTTTGAAAGATGTACTCTTCAGTGCAAAGCCTAGAGATTATTTAGCAAGATGCCAATGTTGGCACCACTTAATGTGTTGATTGGTTGTATTATCAGTAGCAGTTTAAAATAAATTACTATTAAACTATTATTGTCCTTGGCTGACAAAACACAATATTTTGGTGTTCTTTAAATATGAAACAATCATTATGAATAAACATGGAGAATAATGCTAGAGTGTAACACTGATGTGTGTAATTTTATATTAGGAATTGCTGCAAAGTATGAAGCTGCTAAAAGCATATTACATTTTCTATTGAATTTCTATACCACACTTCCTCCCCCAACCCTTCCTTTTTTTATACTTGCTGCTAACGTAGCTAATGGTAATACATTACCTATTGCTGCTGATTATGTCTGAAAAATATTAGCTTTTTGGAGCCAAGACCCACTAGGGACTACTTATAAGCTACACAAAATTAAGTTTCATTTTTAGAAGTTAAATCAGTGCACATCAGTAGGCGTCCAATATGAAAAAAAAATCTGCACTAGAGCCAAACTGATGCATATGCAAAAGTGCTGTTGCTGCCAATGACAGCTCTAACGCAAAAATACTGGAAACATTCAATATCTCCATGTATTCAATGCAGAAGGGGGTGAGAAAAACAACTAAAAAGTACAGCATCTAAAAATCATCAGTGCCCCTTGGAACATGAACAGCAATTTCAGAGTTACATGAAATTCTATTAATTCTCCCAGTGGATCAGCTGTAAAAGATTATACAAAATACAGTATGTCCAACTCGTATTTGCTAAGGCTAATCCTCTAACCTGATATTAAATCAATATGTTGCCAATGACAATAGGAAATGCAGTGCAACATAGGACATTAACAAAAAGAAAATATTTCCCTTTAGGGAAGGTCAGATGTTATGGAGGCTGGATAATGATAATTATAGTGAACATGCTCAGGTTCCAGATTTGTTTTTAATACAGTATGGCTCTATCTGGAGCCAGGCTTTAAACAGGGCATGCCTCTGTGTCACTATTAATATATTTTTTTTATTTCAACATAATGTCAAAAATGGACATTTTCCCCCTGAAGATTTATAGATCATTCTGATTTGTTTACTTTAATTGTTTTAACATTTTCCAGTGATAAATTCTTCAGAGATGTCCCAAATACAAAGATAAGTTGATATATGGTTGATGTTTCTTCCCATTCTCCAATGCGTCCGAAAACACCATCATGTTAAGGGTAGTCTATTGATCCTATAGAAATTAAACATATAACAAATCTCAACTCAGCCTTAAAGCTAGTATTAACCATCATTATTTTTTAAAAATTCAAATAATGTGTTGCCTATTTTGAAAGGGGTGGAGGAGAAGGTATATAGAAGCTCTTTCTCTTTCTAGCTACATCTATAGCGTAGTAATTTAGGTAGCTATACAGTTATACGTGACATCAGGATGGCCTTACTAGCTCCTCCAGTGGCCTATCTAGAAGATCATATCCTGTTTCGAACAATCGCCCACAGTGAGTGAAAAAGGAAAACTAGAAGAACAGGCATGCACACAGTGAAGCCTTCCTAGTCAAATCTCCCAGCTTCCAGAGACTGTTAGCTCAGGGGCTTACTTTTGCAGTATTAGCTACTCATGGTGAAAACACTTTCAAATATCATTGCTTCTCTCTTAATCAGGAAATTATATATATCATTTTTGTGCTCTCATTAAAACTATCCATTGAAAGGCTTGCAAAAAAATCAATATATAAATTTTTAGTTAACTTCACAGGTTAATTTTTGAATATTTGCTATTTCTAACTGACTACTGACTTAGGAACATAAGCAAGGTAAGATAACACAGCTTGGTTATCTCTACAGATGACTCCAGAAAGACGTGTTTTTAATATCTCAGATTGAATATCTCCATCACAGGTAAATGCATATTGCACAAGGATAAATGACATTTTTCCATTAATATTTTTTGTGAAAAATGAAATAATTCTCTTGAATTTTAGCAGAAGATAAATAAAATAACATGAAGTAAAACTATGATTTTTACTTTACCCAGCATTTGAAATATTTTTCTCTTGTGTATTTACTCTTAGACAGTAACAGTGCAGGAGACTCATAGCAATAAAGCCAGTAGTCTGGTTTGGTTTCATAGGGGAATTTAGCTTCTAATCATGCATTTCTTTTATTAATATCAATGGGACACTTGCAACTTATTTTACATATCTCTTGAAAAATATTTAGCAACAAGACTGTGTCAATACAACAGTCTTGTTAGAAAAATACGGCTATCAGGGTGCAACTAATTCATCCCTTAGATATTAACGGAAATTCACCTTGGTGACAGTAAAGATTCAGGCTCTAAATGTTTAAAAGGACATTAGTATTACCCAAGAATATTGCAGTATCATGAAAGGCTGTGGCTGTAACATACTTTGGCATAATCGTGCCATGACTCGAAAAGGTGAACCTAAGCGAGGGGTACAGAAACATCTTTAGCCTTCTCACTAGCACCAACACAGCATTTTGCTGTGACCCACCTTCCATCACCCTTCATCTTCCCTGCAGCTGCACATAGACTTCCAGCATTTAATCTGGAAGAAATCAACAAATATACATTGGGAAGGAACAGACATATCACTCACTTTAAGCTCTCTGGGGAAATTTATTTCCTCTTCCTTTTAGAGGCACAGATATACATCTGAATAAGAAAATATGTCCCCAGTCTTATGTCCTTATTTTATGTGTGTATTTGTTTAATTATATTTTGTTACAGTTTATTTTTTGCATTTCAGCAGTCCCCAGCAAGAAATAAACAGTGGCTGTTCTGGGTACTGTATATTGTTATTATCTCCTCTTTAAATGTACAAATAATTAAATGTTGTATTTTTGTTTAAATAAGTATTTATGGGAAGTAAGAAAAGATATATATGATATACAAAAGGAATTGAACCTAACTAGCAGCCCCTGGTGACAGCGATAGCAAATAGGCTTGTCTAACAATTAGCGATTAGGGGCTATCCATTTAACTGTAGTATGGATGGAAGACACAGACTGACTTGTGTTTAGTGGCCAATTTTAAAGGATGGCTCAGACTTCTAAAATGGAAGTAAGTAGAGTTAGGCACCAAGCTCAATCACCTAAACTCTTCAGCACCTGCAAGACTTTTAGAACATTTTGTTTTCAAATACTGAAAGTATTTAGAAATTTTTGCTCACATACACAAAAGCACTGTCCCTATGGCAAGGCTTAGGATCCTTCTTACCCTGACAAAGGCCAAAATTAGAGCTCCTAGTGCCCATACAGTACCCTAATCTTGTTTTATCTGAAACCAGGATAACCTCTTCTGGAGGCACCCACAGTCTGTATTACGCAGATCCTCCAGATCCTGCATCTCACATCAGTGAACATACACAAGGGGATCACAGCACAGATATCATGTCCATGCACACTGGTGTAGTCAGAGGCTGTTTGCCTATGTATTCATGTGACCATCATATCCCCAAATTATAGGCAACCTCCACCACCACCACATGGCAGGCCGTGCATGCACCCCAGTCCCACAACCCAGTGGAGATGTACACTTGCATTTCACAAGCAGACATATACCCATTCTGTGAAAGGACACATCCATATTTTTGTCATACATGACCCTGGGGAAAAAAGAACAGTGTTTACCAAAATCACTAATCTTGCCTTTGGCTAGATTTCTGCTATTTTCTGTTTCAAAAGCACCTTAGTACTTGAGGCAGGGAATGGACTGTAGGCCAAATGATTTTTTCCAGAAAATTAGATCTGCTGCATTCCTAGCATAGCTGCAACAAGAGAATGGTGAGGGATCTTACTGCTCCACCTCCCCTTTGAATTCAAACCTCTCTGCTGAAAGGGATGCAAAATTCACCTGGACCAAAGGAAAGCAAAGTGGAATTTACCCAGTGACAAGAGTCCTTCTGACTCATGTACTAAAGGCATCATGGGTTTCAGATAGTGCTTATGCATTTCTTAGCAAAGTCACAAATGATACTGCAAGCATGACCATAGTACACAATTTCCTCTTTCCACAAATCCCGTTGAGTTCGAACTCGCAGTCAAATACCTAAAACTCAGTTCTGAAAGTGTCAGTATCACAGTATCTAACTCATTTGTGGGCCTGGGGTAGTGCTCTCTCATTGCAATAATTGCTAAATATGGAAATAATTTCAAATGGCATTGATGAGAGAAACTGCTGCTATTGTGCATAAGTTACTGTAATAGACTCTACCATTTTAAATAGAACACTTAATTTTTTCTACACAGGTGGGAAAATCAAACTAGCTCTTTTTTTATGAAGGAATTTCCTAATGCTGTCCTGATAGAGATTAAAACTTTGGGTGGAAAATGCCTTACTGGTATATGAAAGGATTCCCAGAGGCCTGTAGAAACCATATAATGCGACATGGGGACATAGTGAAAAAATCCAAAAGGACTTACATCCCACCTGTTTACCCTGATAGATAGTTTGTCATTGTGTGGAATCTCAAGGTAAGAAGCAGTAAGTACAAAAGCACAACGAGAGAAGGCATAAAGAAGTCTCTGGTTTCTTTACGATGTTGCCTTTTTAGCTTTCCATTCCAGATAAGATTAGGGGTTTGGTTTTGGTTTTGTTTTTTTAAAAAAAGCAATGACTGAATTTCACGTTCACATTTTCTGTAAAACAAAACCAAATGCACTCTTGGCAAATTAATCCTGGTCATTTATCCTGAAGTAGTGCAGCACTCTCATATTCAATCACAAGATTAGCTAACCTGTTGATGCTGAATGCTTTGCTCATTAGGTTGCTGTCTAGAGACGCTGAGTGCACACATTTGTCAAAAAAATTACTAAGAACTTTCCTGTACATGCATGCACAGCTAAAACATTACATACTTTGCTAACTGTGTTTCTTCCTTTAGAAAAAACCACATTCTTTACAGATTGCAGCAGATCTGTTAGAAGGACGCTAACTGTTGTAGAATTACTTTGGTTTATGATTTAAATATTTAAGATCCTAAGTCTCAGAACCACAAAAAGCTCCTTCAGACCAGGCAAATATAGCAATACTTAATTCTTAAACAGCAGTGCTTTTTTATTATTAGATCTCAAAATATCACCAATGAATGGATCATATACTTTTCACAAAACAACTCTGAAGTGCCATAAACTTTAATGAGATTGCTTAAGAAGGTAAAGTGAGCAGGATTTAGCCCTACTCTGTCATAGACTTTGCTGAATAGAATATAATTGATTTTCTGTATCTGTAGAAACGAGCAGGGAAAAATATTGTGACAAATACATTAGAAGTTAGTAGCTGCACAGATGAGGCTTATCTGGAACAAGTACAATATGGCTGCATTATTTTCTGCACTATCATTTTGCTTCTGCATGCAACTTACAACCATATTGTTGCAAAAGTTGCATCTGGGGAACACATGATTGCTGAATTTGTGGACAAAAAAATTCTTCATTCTAATACGAAACACTAACATCTTGGCTCCAAGCTACATGCTAGTGTATACCTTAAATAATCTTTGAATCAGGCTGTACTATACACACAATAGACATCATGACTACTAAATAGGAAATCTGCAGAAAATTTGGTAATACCCTTTGAAGTCTAGTCTTTGAAGACAGTACTTCAAGTGAAATGAGCTTATTTATAAAAGCAGTGCTTTTTGTGAATGCTTTTATGGGAGACACATTTCAAATAGCTTTAAATATCATTTCCACCTTGGCACTCCAGCAATTTAAAATAACTATTTATTAAAGAAATGTTTCTCTGCTTAGTAAATGAGATAAAGTTAAACAGTAAGATACATTTCATTAGCCTGTAATAAAAACAGCATTTAAGACAAATGTTGTTAAACACACCAATGCAATTTTCATTGAATTCTCTGCTGTTTAATATACAATCTGTATTTTTATGTACTGTATCTGACAGCTTCTAAATTCATTTGTTTGCTGTGGTTCCTTTAAAACCTAAATTACTAGAAAGTTTCAGTAAATTAATTGATCCAAATAATCTTATGAACTGATTAAGCTAGAATGCTTATATTAATTTAGACAAATCTGCAACTGGCTCCTCTCCATCCCTTTAAGCTGATCTACAGAAAGGCCTACCTGGATGTTAGTCAGAAGGGTCTCTATGGAGGACAATCCATCAGGGAATAGAAAAGGAGATGGAAAACCTGGAGGTAGTGGTTGCCCATGCCCAGTTAGAGAAAGTTTGTCAAGGCTGTCTCTTGCGGTTGGCGTGGAGAGCGGGGTCTCATCTGTATGTGATTGAAACAAAAATATAGAACAAGTTACGCTTGTCTGTTTTTATTAGACCTCAGTAATGGCTTCCCTAGTGGTTTCCAGAACATTTATTGCAAATTGGTTCCTGCTATCAGGAGAAAATGCTTTCTGCTGAATTTTCTTTAATGAAAAAGCTGTGGAGATACAACAAGATAACATTAATGAGTAACTTTATAAGCCTTTTAAATGCAGTCTCTAATGAGACTGAGTTTACAGTGCCATAGAATCTTTTTAAAACAAATATTATCTCACATATACTTGTGATAATATATTCAGGCTGACTTTATGGGCACCTTCCCAATTATCTCATTTTAGTTTGTATTCTATTTGGATTGACAATAGAATATTTTCTAGCATGACATATATTTTGTATATGAGAAGTATTTGAATACAAGGCTTCCCATACAATTAACCCTTCCAGCTCTTAAAGGTTTCACTTACAGCTCAGAAGATTCTGCAACACCAAGAAAAACTACAGCTCCTCAATGCATTTTTAATCAAGAAAGTACACCTGATTCCCACAATTGAAACATGCTATGAACAATACATGAAATTAACAGCATGGTTACAATCACTGGCCTAATTTTTTTAAGCATGGACATCTTCTAACAATTAGTGCTAAACTCCTTAGTGGGATCTTTGTAACAATCAGATCTGATCAGTTCTGACATCACAACGGGAAAAAACTCCCACAGCTTGAAGACTTCTAAGATTAAAGTTTCACAGATAATCTGTGAATGGATTATAAAGTAAGTGGAAAAAAAAAAAAGAAAAAAACCACAATTAATAGAAACTTCAATACCCTGGGTTGGGTTTTTTTTTTACTTATTGAAATATTTTTAGACTACTGTTGATACGATACAGAAATTTAGGTCAATTTCTTTGCACCAGATGTTAATCTGAATTCTTCAAAAGGAAAACTATCTATCTATATATATAGATGCATATATCTTTACATACTCTTCTTACCAAGGGCTCAGTTATTAACTGAAACATATTGATGTATCTCAATACAACACAAGGACATCAGAATGTACTCTTGGTCTTATGCAGATTTCTGCACAACTATTTGACTACAACAGAGTTTGTCAGACTTCCTCTTTTCCATCTGGGCTTTGATCATTATAAGATATATATGTTTTGGTGTATTTTAATTTCTTTTTCTTTCTGCACTTTATTTAATTATAGCTTCAATAATAGGTACATTTCTGTATTTATCCTATCATGTACATCAGGAATTGTATTATATCAAAGGTCTGATCCTAGTTGCCTAAAAAGAGCTCTGTCCTTGACTGCAGTGCAGTATTTCCTTAACTGGACATAGTCTAGGACCAGGAAAACTGAAATCTGTAGCAACAAAGGCTTAGAGCGTAGGCTTTGATGAACCCAGGACCAGAAAACCATAACTCAAACTCCCAGCTCATTCCGACAGTACCCATCCACTGTTACTCCAGAAGGAAGCAATCTCTATCAACCATGTTCAGGTGCAGATTTCTTGCCCCATCTCCTCACCAGTTCTGTTGTGCTGGCCAGTATTTACAGTGCTACAGTAAAAGCCTCACCCACTACGTCCCTCCACAGAAAGACCCAAACAGCCATTTCAACATCTGCTTCTGGGCTAGGCCTGCTTAGCTCTTTCTACAGCCAGTGGAGAGAAGCAGACACCAGTTTAAGGTACTTATCCATCTGAACTGTCATCACAGGCATTTACTGCAGGAGGAGACTCATCTTTCTCTAGAAGTATCTGTTGACTGTAAGAGAAGCCTAAGCTGACTAGCTCAGGTGAGATTAGTCCTACCATGGAAGCTGTTCTTCCCAGTTTACTGTGGCTCAGGCTGAGAGTAGACAAGGAGTATGACTCTGTTTCATGTTCCCCATTTGTCACAATTTGTGCCAAGATTACTGCTTTCTCATAAAGTCATCATTCAAAAGCTTACCAAAGTAAGCTTTGTGAAAGGAATTGATGTTGACCAAGGAAAGCTTCAGCTTATTCATAAAAGACTTTTCCAGCTATGTTTAAGTTTTCTAGTCATGTCACAAAGTGCTGAGAAAAACTGCCTGTAAATTACTGAACCATTGCCTATCTACCTTACCAAGATTCAAAGCAGGCTCTGAAAAATGTACTCTGTGGATGTATCCTCTGTCCTCATGCTACCTCACAGCAACATGGATCTCTCTGTAGTCATTTTGTAGCAACATACTAAAATTTGACCCTAAATATGTTATTTTTCTTTTCTTCCCAATTTTTAAAATATTATAGAAATATTCACCACTTCATTAGAAAAAATAAATCAGGTATCTCTGGGTATTGCAAACTAACTTACTGTTCTTAGATCATCCTGCTAGTTCATCTTCTCAAATCCTATTTTATTGTGAAAAATTGTTACCAAATGTTTTTTCCAAACTGCTGTCAGAATTGTTATGCTTTCATGAATCAAAAGAAACAACCAAAAACTTAAACAAAACTGGTCAGACAACATATTGAGAAACACTACACAATATTGTTGCATAGTTGCAAACTTTTTTTTCTGCTGCTGCATAGATGGTTTTCCCAAATGATTCCTACCCAACAATAAAAAAAAAAAAAAAAAAATTTGCAAAACCTCTTCTGTGTGATGTCACTCATTCTTTTGGCTAAAGACTTCTTTGTATCAGTGGTTCCAGTGAAGGTCTTGGACTTGTATGGTACAGGAAGAAAGAGTCTAATCACTAGTATGTATGGTGGAGTTTATTCACAGAATCACAGAATCACAGACTGGTACAGGTTGGAAGGGACCTCTGGAGATCATGCAGTCCAGCCCGCCATTCATTCATACAAATGAGAAAGTAAACAAAAAAAAGACATCATTTGCAATTAGGTTTGTCAGAGAAATGGACCAATGGCTTCTCATACTTTCTAAGACAACTTAGAATTTTACTAGTATTTTAGGTCTCAAATTGTCAAAATATTTTAAAACATACTAGATAAAATTGACCACTTAAAAATTCCATAAGCCTCAATTCACTCAAAAACATTTTTCATGCAGTTGCTGAGATACAGAAAACTCCTAACACAGGTCTTGTTATAGAATTTTGGCAAGGGATTAAGTTTTTTACTGTATTACTACTTCAAAATTAAATACACATTAAACTTGATGTACTTTGTGCATGCTCAAAATATGCTGTGAAGTTTGCAAAGATTTTCCTAACAATGTGTGGCATGGCTGTGCAATATGAAAAGTAACTCAAAAAAGGTTAGAATAGTATGAACTCAAAATAACATCCAAATTCATGTTATAATAAATAACAGAAACAAATTCACACTGAAGGGTAAGACTAGAGATCTGAACTTACTATGAACTTATTTTAATGAAACTTCAACTCAGAAAAAAAAGTCAGACTAATGTGACTCTGTTTTCTTGATGTCCCATGTGAAATAAACTTTGAGCGTGAGTATGTTTCAAACACAGCAAATGTACATATTATACACAGGAAGCATGGATATTTGTGGATGTGAGATAAGCAATGATTGAGGGAATCTTGAAAAAATGCATTTTTAAGAAAAACCACATTGTAAACACAGCCAATTAAAACATAACCGCGTATCTTAGTAGCAAAATAATATGACCTCTTGCTGTTAAACCATTTAAAAATCTTCCATTTCTGCAGAAGTCCTATTTTCTCAATATGATGAGATATCTTTGTTTCCAAATGGTCATTAGCCTAATATCTTTTAAAATGCTGCAATAGAGCAACACTGCAAAAATGACGAGCTCTTGCTGGGAAACAGAGATTTGGCATTTTCAGTCTAAACACATCAAAGGAAGCCTTCAAAGACAAGCCAGGGCAAGAGGGGAAAGAGGGTCAATCCACAACTCCATTGTCGGAGTTGGGAGCACAACAGTGTAAAGACAGGTAAAAAAAAAGAAAGAACAAGGCAGAACAAAGAACTGTCCAGGCCTGCCTTAGCTTGTGCTGGGAACTGAGATGTTATAAATTAACAAATAAACACGGATAGGGCAAGCTGTTACCCAAGCCTCTACAGTATCTGAGCAGAGGTGAATATGTGCCTTGACATATGAACTAAATCACCATAACAGGCAAGTCTGAATGCGACACCTATCTTTAAAATATTTGTAAATGCTACATCCACTCCATCCATTGTTCCTCAATTTCCAAAGCTCACCTGTTTTTGTTCAAATCAGATTTTATCTGCAAACAGCAGCTGGTTTGGGCAAAATACAATGAACATTTTTCACTGTATTTGGTTTGTTGCCCTTCTATTTTATTCTTTCACCAGATAACATGGAAACAGACATCCTGGAAGCTGTGACAGCTATTTAAGCAATAATAGATGAATAGAGGTAGCCATTCTCTTGTCTTTGTTTCTAAAAGCAAGTAGGATAAGTTCAGACTGGTCACCAATCAAATTGGAGAATATTGATATTGCCAGGATTTGAAAGCAAGCAATAATAGCTGGCTCCAAAAAATACTATACAGATTACTGCCTTTCTGTAACCATTTAATGTTTTTTTGTAATGCATCTTGATGCTTTTTTGTTCTCTATAAAATATTTCATATGTATTTGTTCCTAAAACAGGCTCTTAACATTTGAATGATGAAAGAGGATCCTGTTTTCACTTTTTACTATCATAAATCTGCTACATATATTTTTGTAGAAAAGATCTATTCCATTTGGCTTAACCTGATTTTGGCTTATGCTGTCGACCACCCTCTAGTACCATATTTATATTCCACCTTCCTCAGAGCTAGAGGTTTCAGGTGTGAGAGGCTCTTCTATTTTAATTCATCTGTAATTGTTGATTTACATTAACACAAAAGAACAGGGGGTCGCCTGTCCTGAGCTAAAACGCTTACCAACTTCAGGCAAATTTAAAGAAAAAAAAAAAAAAAAAAATCCTCTTGCTTAATTCCCATATCATTTGGCTGCTTTACAGATTTGGACATTCAAGATTCACCCTGCACATAACTAGGG